GAAGATAGCATATTGTAAAATTTTGAAATTTTTATAGTAGATAGATCTTGATGAATAGAGCAAAAATTGTCATAGAGGCTAAAAGTCGTCAGTTGCAATATGTCTGATAGAATTGAAATTGATTTTTATAAATATTAGACTAGAGCCTATCGGATCGTACTTCGATATTTTGAATGAAATTTTCTAATCGAAATTGAATAGTCATCCCTGAAATATTCTGTTTTTCAGTCTTTTGAATAAATTTGTTTTTGGTTTCTTTTTATCTCCTTCCGATCGGATGTATCGTGGTTGAGAAACGGGAATGATTCTTGAAATATGTTCAGTAGATGGAAGAGAATTTCGAGAAAGATGAGATCCTCTTAAAAATCCGTATGATTAACAATTATAATTAACTTTTTTTCTTTTGAAAAGCTAAATATTCAAAAATTTTTCTTTCTTTTTTTTAGCAATTACATGGTCAAAATATTTACAATGGTTGTTGTACTGTAAGTTTTTTTTTTCATAGAAATATCTTTGATAAAAATATTTTCTAATATAATATTTAGCTTCAAATTGAATATTCAAAACTTCTTTCACTTACTGTTAAATATAATAATGATAAAAGTCGAGATTATACTAATCCAACATTACCATCAGGCGAAGGAAATATGGTTCAACAAACAGAATTAGGTTAATTATTTTTATTATTCATTATGATATAATTAATTTTAATTTGTAGAACGAATGCATTCAAATACTGGTCTTCTTCCATTACAACGAACAACATCTAATGAAGATTATCGTTATGGTAAAAGAAAAACAAAAACGAACATATTTTTTTTTTGCTTCAACATAATACTTTGATTTTCAGATTATTTTACAGCAGCTGTAGCATCACGTGGTCGACCCCCATCAACAGCTGGAATGACTCCTGGTTATGATATACCAGGTAAAAAATATTTCTTATAAAATACAATCTAAAAAGAAATCTTGAAAAATATAGAGTAGATAGATAATTACAAACTTTTCATCTGCAAACAGAATAAATGTAAGTTAGTAGAGAAACACTTCCTTTACCTAAAAGGTGTATGTGCATAATCAAGTTTTATTGCGTACCATGCACATGTCAACATGTGACGCCACATTCACCGTGATTATAATTATCGAATGTGATGGAGGTGGCGCCCTCTATTGACATTTCAGTGGTACATAATAGAATCGTATACTTTTAGATAGAGGAAATCTTTCTCTACTAACCTTTTCTAGATCTTGTTCTGGGCTCAAAAAGAAAATACGATGACAGACATTGCTGGTACACGATCAAAAACCATACATCTATAACGTCTAATTGTAATATATTAACTATTTCTGAAGAAATATGTCCGAAAATGGATAGAATAAAACAATCTCTCTGTGATTAGCAATGGTAGCTGAATCATGTTTTAGATTTTAATCCTATAGGGATTGTACTAACAAATTTTTATTTATAATTTTGTTTAGCCAATGCCAATCATTTAATGAGTCCACTTCAACCAACACCCACTGCTTATAATCCAATGGTAGGTGCTACAGCTACTCCATATGGTCATCCATACGCTTCAGCTCACCCTCCTCCACCACCACCTATTCATGGTTTACCTCCAACACATTTGCAATCTCACCAACAACAAAATCCTCATATGATATCTGTTCAAAATGGTCCAGTTATTCTTGTATCAAATCTTAATGAAGATGTGAGTTAAAGAAAAATATTAAAATTTTTTGCAAAAAATCTTTTTTTCTTTATTGAATATGATAGAAAAAAAAACATACATATATCTTTCGAATATAATATCTATTCATTTCTTCTCTTTTTTTTTCCTCTTTTGGACGATTAGATGACGACTCCAGAGTCCTTATTCACACTATTCGGTATGTGTATCTTCTCTTTCTTTTCTCATTCTTGACAGACATATCTCAAAGAGAGAAAAATAAATTTTTTTCATGAAAAAAAAAAAGAAAAGAAAAAATTTTCGATTTTCCATAGGTGTTTATGGTGATGTGCATCGGGTAAAAATTTTATTTAATAAAAAAGATTCAGCATTAATTCAATATGCTACAGCACAGCAAGCAGCTGTTGGTAAATATAAAAATTCTAATTCAATAAATATATTAATTTTATTTATATTAGCTCATCAAAATCTTGATCATATAACAATGTTTGGAAAACAAATACGAGTTTCATTTTCAAAACATCAATTTGTACAAATGCCAAAAGATGGTACATCGGTAATATAAAAAAACAAAAAAGAAAACAAAACAATAATTATAATGATTTTCTTTTGTGATATAGGATATGGGTTTAACAAAAGATTTTACAAATTCTCCGTTACATCGTTTTAAAAAACCAGGATCAAAAAATTATAATAATATTTTTCCACCTGGTACTGTTCTACATTTATCAAATATTCCGTACGAGATAAAAACAAACACCAATTTTTTTTTTCCTAAGAAAATTTTTGTATTACTTATTTAGTACTGAAACAAGTGAAGAAGAAATTCGAAAAATATTTTCACAATATGGAACAATAAAACGATTTAAATTTTTTGAAAAAGATCGTAAAATGGCCTTAATTGAAATGGATACAATTGAACAAGCTATTGCTGCATTAATTGTATGTATTTTGTTTTATGAAATTCTATTTAAAAAAAAAATGATGTTGTTTTGTTTTTAGAATACACATAATTATCGTTTAGCGGATTCAATGCATCTTCGTGTTTCGTTTTCCAAGAGCAAATTGTAAATATTTTGACTCTTTCAGAAATAAGAAGCCATCGTTTTTGTTTTTCTTTTTTTTGTTTATTGAAGTTTGTTTCGATGTCGACTTATTGTTCTTTCTCTTTTTTCTTTCATGCGAACTAAGTTTTTCTATTCATGTTCTGATGTCTTTTTTTTGCATTCACAAAAAATAAAGAAGGCTAGGATATCATGAATGATTAAATAAGTTAATAAAAATCTCCAAATAAAAAAGAAAAACTCAGTTCGAAAATTTTGAATAAATAGATTTCACTTTATGTCGAAATCGAGCTAAAAATTTAAATTATACTGGAGGTGCGGGTGTGAATGTGTGAGTGTTGTTATTTCCTACTCTCACATCCACACCCGCATACTAACGTTAGATTTCACATCTAATTATCATAGCATTGAAAATATTAAGCTTATATTCTTAAAACATAGGTGTAGTTTGAAATAGTAGTTTGTCTCTTTCAATGTTATCATGTACTTGAATTTTATTATTTGAAAATGTCCAATCTGTGGTTAATAAATAGCAACGGACTACAGCAATCTTCTATTTTCTACTTCATTTATAGTGACATAGAAGCACATCATTATTTTGGCGGATTATACAGAAACGAAGATGATTTATTAGGTAGATTCGTATCTATTTTTTAGTTTATTGTACTCATTAAAGATCGATTAGGAAGAATGCTATAGTACTTTGGTGTCAAATTCAGCATGAAAATTTGATTGCTTTTAGATTTTGATGTTTTTTAGTCTTTCGCATTTTTTCTACACAACAAAAGGTATTTATCATGTATTGTGGTTATGGGTGTATAGAACCGATCACCAGCTATAATTAAGCGTATTTCAAAAAGTAAAACTAATTAGTAAATATAAATAATCATTCATTTCACGTATAACTATCTCTTGCCTTATTTTAATTTTTTTAAAATTCACTATTACGTACTTATTGTATTTTTATCATCAGTCTATTATATAGAAAAATAAAGACATTAATATTGAGAAAAGCAATCTAATTTTTGTTTAAGATCATTTTGAATGAATCTGACAGACAAAATGTCACTTACAGTATAACAATTAAGAAAGAAACGACATGCAGTAACTAATAAACTTGCTGCAGAAAGAAGATCGTTGAACTTCAACTGAATTAACTGAGACTCAACATGATCTGGAACAAATAAGAGTGTGTGTTGGGTGAAGTTTCAGCTTTTTCAAAGAGAATCGTCGCTAGTTTCAATTGTTCTACTCAAATCTGGTCACCGGAAGTACTCAAAAATAAAATTGAACTAGTGATTGAATCTAGTTCTTGAAAAAGAACTAACTCATGGAACTATAAACTGTCATAAGCCTATGTTTAATATATCTTATTTTGGAAAGAACTTTCTAAATGAAAAAACCCTGAATAAAAGTCCCTGGTTGGTTGACGGGATTGACTAAATCTTTACTTATTCACAAATGTAGATCTATTCAGAGATTGATTCTGGAAACCAGAATTTGTGGCAAATGATACGCAGGTGTGGATGTTAGTATTCTCTGCATCTAAACATGCACTCACACCCTGAAATATTGATAAAATATGTAATAAATTATGTATGAAAAGGGAATCATTGTTTTTTCTATTATTATTTGAGACATGACAGTGAACCATTCATTTGTATAAGATGATGAATGTCATTTTACGACAAAATTAACGAATAATCAATGAATAATGTTTTTTTTGTGCAAATTTCCTTTGGAATTTTGTTGATTTGGATGAATCAAGCATGCAAAATATAAGTGTGTTTGGTCTTCTTATCGTTCTCGTCTTCCTAGCTGTCTAGCTGCGGATGCATATCATCTTACTTACTATGTGGGAAGAAAGTTTGGCAACCAAAACAAGAAAGAGAGCAACATCCATAAATTCTATTTATGAAATTTCTTTTTTCTTTTCTGTGGATGACGATGCATCTCATTTTCGTTCTTGTTATCGCTTCCTTGCTTGATGCACAGAAACTTTGTCAACACTCTTGAAACGAACTAAAAATAAGAAGTCTTTCATGTGAAGAATGAAACATATACTCCTATATCAATCGACTATAAAAAATTGCCAACAAAAGGAAGAAACAAACGACAATATTTATGCATAGAGTGAGAGAGAGACGACGTCTATTTATCCTTGTTTCATTATTTTCAACAAGTTTTTACATTTTTATTCACTTATTTTCGTTGTTAAACAAAGCATATCATCATCATTATCAGTATGGACAAAAGTAAATCAACACCAAACGCTAGTGGTTCTTCTTCGTCACTGTCGTCAGCAGCCACACCAACTGAGTCGAAAAGCTCTTTATTGGTATCATCATCGACAAATAACGGTGCTGCCATTGCTGCTACTATTGGTGAGAGTGAAATAACAAAAAACACGGCGAGAAATACCATGCTATGCCGACCTGTGCGTCGGGTTCTTGAAAACTTTCTTCTTGTTTGGCTTGATGCCAATTTGAATGAATCAGATGAAGATTTCAAGAGATCGCTACAACATCTACAGCATATTGTGACAACAATCACAATATTTACAGATGCTGATCAATGTGTTGATTTTGTCAGTGACATTGAAGATGAAAAAGTATTCATGATTGTGTCTGATGCACTGGGACAACATATCGTACCAGAAATTCAAGCATTGCCACAGTTACTCTCAATTTATGTTTTCTGTGACAATCAATCGATCCATCAACAATGGGCCAAAACAATACCTAAAGTAAAAGGTGTATACACACAAATTGAACCAATTTGTGAAGCATTAAAAATCGATCGAAGAAATTGTGATCGAAATATGACCTCGATCAGTTTTAATCGTATTGATCCATTATTTATTCATACACAATTGTTAAAAGAAGCACTTTTGGAAATCGAAGATGATGATGCAAAATCTATTAAGGAACTCGTTGAATACTGTCGTCTTCACAGTGATGCTTCCGAAAAAACACTTAAAATGATCGAAAACGAATATCGTAATCATACATCCATTTGGTGGTACACTGGTCCATATTTTATCTACTCAATGCTCAATCGTGGTCTTCGACAAATGGATGTCGACATTATTCTTAAAATGGGCTTCTTCATTCGCCATCTACATCAACATATTACAGACTTACATCGTGAACAGCAAAACAGCAAAGCAGCCATGCCATCAAAATTTCAAGTTTTTCGTGGTCAAGGCTTATCCATGGAAGCCTTTGAAAAAATGAAGAAAACGAAAGGTGGACTTATGTCGTTTAATAATTTTTTGTCCACAAGTAGTAATCGTGAGATTTCTTTAGACAGCTTTGCACGACTGGGAGCATTCGATGAGAATTCAGTTGGCATCCTCTTCGTTATGAACATCGATACGGCTATTTGCACAGCATCATCGACACCTTTCATCAACGTCAAAGGAGTAGGGTTTTATGACGACAAAGAAGAAGAAATTCTTTTTTCGACACATAC